CCCCCCTACCGGCCCCCTCACATGAGGGGGGGGGGGTTTGTACACCCCCCGGTACGAATAGCATTTCCCAATAAATCGTGACCCTTAAAAGACATTTTAAAATTATATAAAAGTCTATAGAATATGCCATTGTTTGATCCCCATATAGGGGTAAAATGTATTATGTAGGTTTTTTTCCTTAAGAATGTGTAATTGGAAAGTGAGGAATTTTTTTTTAAAAAAATACGTTTATAATTATTTTTTGAGAGAATATGTAGCTAAAAATGAGTTTTGAAAAAATGTATTCTCGAAAGAAAAAATGGAACTCAAATAGATGCTATATCAATACTTTTAGGGCCTCTTTGATATGGAAAATTTTCCATGGAAGTAGGAACTTATTTTCCATTTTCCAAGTTTTGGCTCGTCTGATTGCAAAATTTTCCATAGAATTGTTTTTCTTGCTTTCCACTCACACTTGCAAAATTTCCTTGTTTTTGTGGAATTCATTTTCCCATGGTTTGTGTGAAAAATGGTTTTCCAACTTTTTATTTTTATTTTTTTATTTTACAATTAGAAAAATTTCTAGACCAATAATAAAAAATTTATCACTTTTATTGACAATTTCTTGCAAAATAAAGCCAAACGAATGGTATTTGGTATGCTAATTTTTAATTTTTTGGCAAGTGAAACAAATTCTAGATTCAATGGTGAAAGAAATTATCACTTTAATAGACAATTTTCATGAAAAATGAAGTCAAACGGATACCAAACTTTCAACATTTTTCAGGTAGAAAATTATACCAATCAAACACAATTAATTACGATTCTCAGTAAAACAATTTCTAGACAATTCAATTCCCTAAAATTCATTTTCTTTCCACCCATTTTCTATATTTGCAATCAAACGGACCCTTAGAGAGTTTCAAAAATCTTACATTGAATACCCCTAAAATTTTTATATCCCAAAAAGTCTTTAGAAGTTTCAATTGAATATTATGGTCAGTTTGATTACAATGGTGGAAAATGGGTGGAAAGAAAATGAATTTCAGGGAAAGCAATTGCTTGGAAAATGAATTCTAGAGAATTGTTAATTCAATGTATTTGATTGGTATAATTTTCNTTTTGTAGGGAAAATGATTTCAAATATATTTGAGTGGTATAATTTTCCACCAGAAAAATTTTTAAATTTTGTGTTCGTTTGGCCTTCGTTTGCATCAAAATTGTCTATTAAAGTGAAAAAATTTTCCACACTCGATTATAAAATTTGTTTCCATTGCCAAAAAGTAAAAGAAAAAAATAAAAAATATATATTTTCTAAAAAATATTTTTTAATCAAAGTTTAGTGTTCGTTTGCATCAAAATTGTCCATGAAAGTGAAAAAATTTTTTACACTTGGTTATAAAAATTTTTCTATTGCCCAAAATAATAATAATAATAATAATAAAATACAACAGCACATGAAATTCATTTTCCCACCTTTTATCAAAATCTAGGAATTCAGGCGCGTGACTGCCTTGCCAAGAAAATGTTTGGCCTAGAAAATCTTGCCCATCAAACAACACATTTTGTGGAAAAAGGAATAGTTTTTCCAACTTACAAGAAAAGTTAAGGCTATCAAACATAGCTTTAGAGTTTGTTTTACCTTCATTTTTGAGAAAATATATTTTGTAATAGTAAATTTTTAAAGAATGTATGATTAAAAATTAAAAAAAAAATTGAATTTACATAAATTATTTTTGAGGAAATTTTAAGAAATATCCACTTTCACATGATCATTCGTAAAAATGTCCAAAATTTGTTCAATGTCCATTTTGCAATATTTAAACCAAAATACTATTATTAACAATTTATAATTTCACACTAAAGACAAAAACGTGCATACAAATAAGAATTTTGTCGGCCAGTAAAAGTTTTACATATAACCTATCCTACATATTTCAAAAGTACGTATCTCAAATCACAATAAATACTATTTATCTCATTCACACATGTATTAAGCCCCTGTTTGGCCTCCATTATTTGGCATTTTTGATAGTTGAAAATTTTTGGAATAGTGATTGATGGGAGAATATGTAGTGGAAAAGTAATGAAAATTTTTAGATTTGTGTGTAATATTATTTTATTTGATAAATGTGATATTGTAATGAAGAGAGAGAAAAATTTAATGTAATATAATTTAGCCCCCTATTTGGCACCAATTTTCATTCTCATTTTTTTCTCACTTTCTTCATTTCATCCACACTTCTCCCAATAAAATAATATTACACACAAATTTAAAGCTTTTCATAACCTTTTTACCACACATTCTCCTATCAATCACTATTCAAAAAATTTTATTCTCCAAAAAATGGGTGTCAAACACCCTCTAATTTAATGGGGGCCAAACATGGGCTAAATATCGAGAACTACATTTTAAATGTCAAAAACTTTATGATATATAGAGAACCCCCATGTTCGAAATGAAATTTCATTGTCAAGATAAACATGGTTCAAATATCGATAACAACTTTTAAAATTTCGAGAATGTTATTTTAATATAGCTTTTTATGGAAGCTACTTCTTTTTCTCCAAATTCGTGACAAATTGAAAAAAAGAAAAAAAATTATTTCATTTTTCATTAAGGGTATAATAGATAATTTAGGCTCTGTTTGAACCAAATTATTGTAAAATGAGAATGAAAAATATAGTCGTTATTGGAGCTAACATAAGAGATAGAAAATTTGAATTTAAATGTTGATGTGATGAATAACGGTCATATTTTCTATTTTAATGAGATAATAATGTAGATTAAATGGGGACTTAGTACTAAATATGATCATTTTTGTAAGAGTCATCAAAATTAGTCAAAAATAAATTTGGAAAAAAATGGATTTAAGCTGGTAGTTTCGCTTTCTTTATTTGCCTAATCCCCCCTCGTACACCCCCTTCTCATTACAGCCCAAACGCAGGTTCGATAACCTATTAAAGAGAGCTGCCACCCTTTGCCTTTTCTTTTCATGTGGACTGAAGCCGACCTTTTGTAGTTGACTATAAAAGTGTCCTTCTCTCTCCTTTTTATTTTGTTCTGAAGTAAACCAACCAGGCTAACTCCCTATCCATTTCTGTATCTCAAGATCTTCCACTTCAATATGAAGCCCAGTAAAATCATCGAGCACATCGTCCTCTTCAAAATCAAGCCCGATGCCCAAACTTCTGCAGTCAACGCGATGGTCAGCAATCTCAACGGCCTGATTTCACTTGACCCAGTACTCTTCCTGACCGCCGGTCCACTCGTCCGCGCCATATCATTATCCTCTCTCACCTTCACCCACATGCTCCATTCCCGCTACTGCTCCAAGCCCGACTTGACTTCCTATTCGGACCACCCGGCCCACGTCAGTGCTGTTGCGAATTACGTTACGCCTGTAATTGATGACAAAATGGCAGTTGATTGGGTCTCTGACTTCACGGATTCGATCACAGTCCATCCTGGTTCTGCCATCCGGGTTACCCTTTTGAAGCTCAAGGAGGGTTTGGGAGAAAGTGTGAAAAAGGAGGTTTTGGGGGTTTTGGAAGGGATTAGACATGAAATTCCTTCAATTGAGCAGCTAACTGTTGGAGAGAATTTCTCCCCGGGAAGGGGGAAGGGTTTTTCAATTGGTTCGCTGGCGGTTTTCAAGGGAACGAGTGAATTGGAGGCCGTGAATTGGGAGCCCGAGATGGCAAAGGTGAGGGAATTTCTCGATGACCAGATGGTGTTGGATTATGTGGTGCCGCAGTTGGCTCAGTCGGCTAGCCTTTAAGAATATGTTGGGAGTTTCTGTTTCACTTGCTTCTCTGGTAATACTGTTCATTTGGTATTAATTATTTGTTTCTTTCTTCTATTGGTGAATGGTATTATTGGGCTAATTTAGATTTTTACATTTAGATTATTGCCAACACAAATTTTACTTGCCATATACCACATTATAACCACACCACAATTAAAACTTTCAATAAAAACACCACAACAAATTTACCGTTATAGTGCTAACTCAACAAAAACCAAACAATTCCATCAAGTTTTCATCTGATAACAGAACATATTGATTTTCAACAATCCCGTATCACACATAATACCAGAAGCAACATTTATCATTAAAGAATTACTTTATCCTTGGCGAGAAGTGGAAGGTGAAGAAGGATCTCAAGAGGCTCGATGTCGGCAGCCATAACAACGAATTCAGAATTACCTCTGTTCCGTGTCTTAGTTGCTGCAATAAACCAGTAAAAAATTATAAAAACAAAAGACCAGTTCTTGGTTCCTTCAGAAAAGTATTAAAGGATGAACAAATAAAAAAAAAAAACGTAAATGCAAAATTATCAAAATAAAAGGAAAAATGAAAAAGCTAGGAACCTACATTAGCTCCCTATTTGAGTTGTTAATTGTTTGTAGTTGACAGCCTGCTGTATCAAGCCCAGGATCGTAGTAGTCAACTGGGCATCTGCCAAGGGGTATGCTTTTGAGTTCACAGCTTCTGCAGTCTATATGTATAAATAATTCATAAAAAACAGTGGTCGTGACTCGCGAACGAAAACATTTCAAAATAAAAATGACAAAAAAATCTTAAGAAACCGAAACTTTAGTCGTGAATGTGTGAAGAGGGAGTGAAAGAGATAAGATATTTATGTCATTTTACTTGTGGTTATTTAAGTAAATAAGAAAATTGTTGTGTATCAAATACTTATTGCGGTGGTAATATAACGACCCTTAGATGACAGTGAAGTGATAAAATTGCTCTCTGTTAGCATGGCTTTCAGGCATCGCTATTTGGACTAGAATTATTTATTTGGTAACTAAGCCGGACCCCCTGCCCTAATAACCTGATTAACCTGGGAATCCTTGGCCATTTTGAAAATTCTAGACAAAATCGTTTGTTACACCACCCATGGCACAAACAACTAATGAATAATAGTCTACATATGTGAGAGAAGTTGCCCATTTTTTATCTCTTGAGACATCGATGAGGAGCCCACACGTCTTTTCTAATGCGAATACATAGAAAATCTTTCATTCTGCATTACATTGTCAATGCTCGTCTGTACGTCTCTATATCCAAGCTGTTAACTTACATACTTGAGCTTATCTTATCCCTCGCAAATTTCTGTCACATTCTTACGATTCAAAATTAATATCTCTGCTTCATGAGAAATTTAAGTTGAATCTTAGGGAATGCGATAGAAATTCGCGAGGGATAAGATGGGTTCAAACTCTCCCAAAGCAGACATACGTAAGTTAAGGGGTTGGGAACAGAGATCAGGTTGTAATGACCCAAAACTTACCCTTTAAGTCATTAAATGCGTATCGTAAAATAGAATTTTCATAAAAGATAATTATTTCTAAAGTTACAATAATTAAATATAAAACGCTTTCTTAATCATGAAATTGATTATTCAAAATCCATAAATCACTACTCTTTATTATAGCACCAGTGGCACGTTCAAATTCCAAATGCCTTGAACCTCAGTTACCTAAAAAGGGGAAATATCATAAATAATGAGATAAATCACAATATATGAGCCACATAAATTTTAATTTATATTTAAAATTTAGGAATTCTTAACATATATGAGGAAATACGGGGATTAGATATCGAACTTAAATGGTCTCCGTACATAATCATAACATACATAGAGAGACATGGGAATTAAGAACCGAACTTCGTAGCTATAATTCTCATACATAGTGCTACTGAACTTTGGTCCCTTGAACTTACACATATAGGTCATATTGGATTCCGTAATTTGAAGTATGAAAATGATTTTCATATAATCGTATGACTACACTTACCTTGATAATTTGAAGAGAATCATATTAAATATGTACCGGAGAATTTAACTTCTTGAACAAAGTGATAATTTGTGTATATGTGGGTGTGATTTTTAACCACACATTCAATAAAAACTCACTTTTACAAAATCTATTTTTACAGCAAAATGGAGCTCGAACAAATGCTTGGTAACATTTAGGTTTGCATCGATAGATGGAATTTTGGTAGTTAAAAGAGAAGTTTTGTCAGGTTCTTGAGGAGACTTTTTTCTGCTGTGAATACTTAAGTAGGTTTTCTTGTGGCTGTTTTGAAGATTATGGTTTGGCTCTGTTATATATAAGCTTAATAATAACAATCTAACAATGTTGAGAAATAGGAAAAAGCAGATATGGAAAGAACTTTGGTCCGGAGTTGATCCACGGCTTGTTTAATTATCATAGAATTTGCAACCTTGTTAAACTGAGTAAATATAATTGGCTAGAGCTAAAGATGTAAATGTTGTTCAGAAAGTAAAAAGCGTCTTATTAGACATTTAAGAGACTTTTCTCTACTGTGAATACTTAAGTAGGTTTTCTCGTGGCTGTTTTGAAGATGATGGTTTGGCTCTGTTATATATGAGCTTAATAATAACAATCTAACGATGTTGAGAAATAGGAAAAAGCAGATATGGATAGAACTTTGGTCCCGAGTTGAGCCATGGTTTGTCTTATGTTCGAGCATGAAACTGAAATATTTGTTGGTCAAGTATTTGTGATGATGTTCTCTAATTGCATATTATCAGATCTGTTTGTATCCTTCCTTATATTACGTTGATTGCAAAATGTTAGTTTGGATCCTTCCTTATATTACGTTGATAGCAAAATGTTAGTTTGGCTTGTGAGGCAGAAAGTTTTCAATTGTTGAATTAACCGAGACGAATCAATATTTATGTTTGTTTCTCCTGTTCTGGCAGATCTTATTGTGTTATGGGGTGAGAGCCATTCCAGAAGTCGACAGAATCGTGTTATAAAAATTGGAAGATGTATTAAGTAGATAAGCGAAAGCGAAATGGATGATACTTCCAGTATTAAAAATTTCAAATATTTTGTTTGTTGCATAGATGTTTTTGTTCATATTTTTGGGTTTTATATGTTTGGGTTTTATATTATATCGTTTGTTGGAAATTTGATGGAAATGCTTGTGTTGTAGAGTAAGTTTTGTGGGGCTGGAAATTCGATTTGCTTTTGCTGTTAGGCCCTTTTTGATAGCCTAGAAAATGGGTGGAAAAAGAAAATATTTTTCGACTTTAGCCAATTAAGGATGTTTGATAGCACAAATTTGCCTGACTTCTATTTTTCCCACATTTTTCTAGGCACAACCCTTTGATGCACATTTGCTTGATTTTGTTTTCTGACTGATTATAAACAATTCTAAAAATGTGACGAGGCATGTTTCAATTATCTACTAACAGAACAATAGATTTTACCTTTTAAACTAAGAACTTGTCTGGCCAAGCTTTTCCTGGGATTAAAATGAGAAAACAGAACGTTGCGTGAGAGAGTGGAAGTCAAAAAGTGCGGCCCAACGGTAGGATTTCTGATGAAAATTCAGCCAAAAAGCTTGGCCAGACAGGTTCAAATTCTATCATCCATTGTAAAAAGAATTTTCACTTTTGTTGACAGATTCTTTGCAAAACAAAGTCAAACGAATGTTATTCGGTATGGTAATTTTTTTTAATTAAAATTTTTTTTTTACTTTTTGGCAATTCGAACAAATTTTAGACGCAATGGTAGAAAAAAATATCACTTTAATTGACAACTTTCTTAAAAAACGAAACCAAACGGACACCAAACTTTCAACATTTTTCAGGTGGAAAATTATATCAATCAAACACAATTAATTATAATTCCCAATAAAACAAATTTTAGGTAATTCAATTGCCAGTAAAACATTTTCTTTCCACCAATTTTTCATCTTTGCAATCAAACGGACCCATATTATCATTTGTCAGGTTTGAAAGAGTATTGAAATGAACTTTGGATTATCATCTTCTTATAATTTCCAGCCCTGTAAATTGTTAAAAAATTCGATTCCATCTGAGTACCCATGGTTTCGGTTCAAGAATCAAGAACTATTTGGGAACTAATCGATTCTTGGTCCAATTAATTTTATTTTTGAAGTTGATTTCGATTAAATTAGAAAGTTGTTATTACAAACGAGGTTGGTTCTAAGATTTTTGGTTCCCCGTGTGAAATTTTAAAATAGGGCGCCTTTCACGTAATTAAAAAAATATATCATCAAAAAAATATTTCAATAACATTATTTTCATTACAAAAATACGAAATTTAAATATTTGTTTACTTTTTTACATGTCGTGAATAAGAAAAATACAAGTACAGTTTAAAAGCACATCCTCCTGAACTTCATCAAAATTCATGTCATCAACAAAAAATCATTCAAGTCAATAAGCTCTTTGTGCAACTCCATATGAACAAACCTTGAAATCAAATACAGTAAATACCACATGCAAACCTTAAAATTTAACAAATTATGTAAAAATATTTCTTCTTGCATTTTTAGAAACAAACTCACTAGTTAGACTTTCATAATCAATATGTTCTAGCAAATATTGTTCAATAGATATCAAAACTAGTACATTCAATCGTTCTTGTAACATGATTGATCGCAAAATAAGATTTTAATAACTTCAATTTTAAAAAAACTTCTTTTGGCGGATGCAACGGTAACATGAATTGTGACTAGTATTATATAAGCAATAAATATATTCAAAAAGCAATCTAATCTTTTCAAATAAATCAATATATCAAAAGCTGTCTTTGTTTCTTTTGGTAAAAGATTTCACAAAATTTTTAACTCCTGAAATAAATTTTCGCCATCAAGATCTCAAAAATTTGCATGTTTTAGAACAATATCAAGATGATCACAATATACTTTCAAATTAACATCATCCAACGAGTTTAACTTGTCAGAAGAAAATAAAAATCCAAAATGAATTGAATTGATCAAACCTTCATTTAAGCGATCCAATTACTTGATCTATTATATAAAGAAAATAATTGGTTTTGAAAGAATTTTTAAGTGATTGTGCGTCTTCTATAGTAGAATTTTTATCAAAATGTTTATTTTTATGAAGTATACGTTTCACTTGAAATAAATGATAAATTTTCATTTCAATGGCAATTTCTTTAGCAATATTTATCGCATCATTGAATCCAATTTCCCTATATTTTTTTCAAAAAAAGCAATCAACCCTTTCACTTCCCCAGTAGCAACGTGTGTAAGTATATCATTAGATTGCAAGCGTTTACTAATCAAGTTAACAACAGACAATGTCTCATACCATATAATCATAACTACTAAAAACCAAAATTTCTAACATAAATGGTCGCTAAAGCATTAACCCGACACCTTACATCATCATCATTATCAATTTTAGCAATTTCATGTAAAGCTTCTCTTAATTCATGAGCTTGGAATCTAATTACTTTAACAGCTTCAACACGACTTGCTCATCGTGTAGATGAAAATGGCTTGACATTTGTTTTAACATTATCTTTCAATATTTTCCATCTCCTTGCTGAATTAGAAAATAAAGTATAGATACATATAGCTCCAAAAAAATCTTTTACTTTAAGAGAAGAGTTTTTCATATTTCACAGTGCTAAATTAAGACAGTGACTAGAGGTGGCAATCGAGCCAAATGGCTTGTTGGCTCAGCTACTTGGCTCATCAAAAACGAGCCCGAGCAGGCAAAAGATGAGCCCGAGCACCAGCCAAGCCTGCTCGGCTCTTCGAAATGACGAGTCGCTTGCCGTCGTTAATACGAGCCACGAGACGAGCAGCTCGTGGCTCGTATATATATTTAAAAAAAATTTAAAAAAACTAAAAAAGCCTAAATAGGCAAAAAGCGAACAGAACGGTCACTGAATTTTTAGTGACCGTTTGGTCACTTTTTTTTTAAATTTGTTTTTTTCTTCATTTTTCTAATTTTCTTCCCTTATAAATACCCACACATTACAACATTTTTTCTCACCAAACTTACTATCAATTCAATATAAATCTCTCATTCTCTACTCTACACTCTACAATTTTCTTACAAATCAATATCAACAACATCATTCATTCATAGTACAAGACAATTTAAAACATATTAAGGATGAAATTAATTTATTTACGAATGCGCTTATATATATCACGATTACACCTAGTAGAAAACAAGCATTTGAGAAATTTTGTGAGGAAGGTGGAAAGACGCAACAAAAACCTTTATTACTGACGTAGGCCATAGATGGAACTCAACTTACTTATTATTAAAATCATGTGAAGGTTATGAAGCATTTATTACCGAATTTTATAACAATAGGCATGTTAGAGACGAAGACGATACCATCTTGAATGAATCCGATTGGAATGTAGTTTTTAAAATTAAAAATTTCTTGACAAGTTTTTATGAGTCTACAAATATATTGTCTG